CGCCCAGCCCCCGCGCCCCGCCGCCCGCCCGGCCTCTCCCGGCGCACGCCGGCTCGGCCGCAATATAATCGCCGGCGCCCCGGGTGACCTGCCCTGCTGCCTCCACTGTTTCCTCTCAGGCCCCAGGCGGCCCTGAGCGCAACGGGACAAGAAAAAAAAAAAGTGCGCCCGGCCCACGGGACAAGCTTTGGCTTCGGTTTACAAACCCCTGCTCTGGAGGGAAAAGAAAAAAAACACCCTCTGCCCGCTGCCACCTCTCACCTCGCCCCCCCCGCGTCCCCCTCCCGCCGTTCTCGTTGCCTTCGCCGCCGCCGAGGCTACCGCCTCGGCGAGGCATTTTCGCACCCCGCCACTGCGTGGAGAGGCGGTGAGATGGGGCGAGATAACGCGCGGAGGGATCCCGTGCGGAGGTTAGTCCTGAGCCCGACAGGACGCTTCACGCCAACAGGAAGATGCTTCCGCCAGCTTTAAAGGGGGCCCATAAAGCCGCAGTGCCAAGGGCTCGCCGGCCGCCCAAGGCCGTGGGAATGCAGGCTTGGGCCGGTGAGGAGGGGTGCGGAGGAATCTTAGACGTGGAGGAGGCAGGGAGGTTGCTTTCCGGAGGCTGCAGAGCAAATGAGCCCTTCCCCGGGCCTCGAAGCAGCCCTGCAGAGGTTAGCAGTGGTTTCTGCAGCCCAGGCAACATGGGAGTGTAGTCGGACCGTGCATTTGAGCTTGGGCCTTTCTGACTGGTCCCATTAAAGGCCATCAGTGTGGTCCCAAGTGCTGGTGTTATCAAAGCGAATCAAAGCCTTTCTTTTCCAGCCGAGCGGGCCTTGTGGAAATGAGATGTACATTTACCCTTGACGCACTGCACGCCTGGCTGAGGCTCCCAGGTTAATTGATATTTAATGGAAATCATGCCCATGAATATAGTTTCCATCATTTCACCCTTGATAGACGTCAGCAGCAGGCGCAGGGGGAGGGAGGAGGTTGAAGAATGCTGGGGGGAAGACATTAGCATTGCTGAGGAGGTAAATAGAAGAGCTGACGGAAACCTTCCACGCCGGGAAGGAGGACGCAGGCTGGGGTGGGTGCGTTTCCTCGGGCAGCGCGCGCGGTTCCAGGATCTCAGTCCCGGCGCGGGGCGGAGCGCGGGGGGCCGACGCCCGCCAGTCCGCCCAGGAGCCTCCGGCTGGCGTTCAGATCGCGCCGGTTCCAAGCAGCTGCAGGCGGCGTCCATCTTCTACTAATGATTCTAGTGCATCCGCAAAGTCGGTAAAATAACTGCCGAGAGCCAGTGCGGGTTTTAACTTCTAGTTACTCATTTTTCCAAAAGCAAGGAAGCGAAGGCTCAGCCTTGTGAACAAGAAAGAAACGAAACAGCCCGTGCCATGTGGGCAAGTCTGGGGTGAATTCGCAAAATAGTCGAGATTCTCTCCAAAGCCACTGGGTTGTACGCCATCAACCGCCTTCTCCTCCCCTCCCCAATTCGTTTTGCTTTATTCTCCTCCCCCTCCCCGTTTTAATGTCGAATAAATATTAATGGTCTCTGTTGTGTGTATTTTTCCTCTCCCACGCGGCCTTTTTTCGCGGCTCTTTGGGTAACCTAGCCCCTGTTCCTGCGGGATAACCCAGTGTTTAGGGGCATCAGGCCTACCGGCGTTGGGAATCCACCTGGGAGACGCTCCCGCCTAAGCTAACACACAACACTGGTGCTTTCCACACCAAATGCAAATGTTCAAAAGCCCCAGGCAGCCCCCACAGGCGTAGCAGACGGGAGATTGCAACTACCCCTCGCTCCCAGTGGGTTGGCTGGCTGTGAGCGCGATGTTGCGGCTGGACTGAATACCAGGGTTTGCAAATGGAGAAAATAAGACTGCAATGGAAAAGCATAGCAAGATACATTTTTTTACTATTTAAATCATTTCCACAGGGTATGGTTGGAAACACGATATGGTTAAGGTAAACGGATTACCGATGAACCTGCTGAGGACAAAGGCAGGCTCTTTAAAAACTGTAATTAGTAGGACGTGCGGGAGACTTTTGTGGGATTAGTAGAAGGCAGGTTCCCCCACCCTTCCTCCTGTGTGTGACCTACAGGTAAAAACTTTCTTTAAATCTTAAGGCTAATGAAACGATTCTGATAGTTAACGATTTGTACTTCAATCTTGCAACTACTCAATTAAAAGATGATTATTGTCAATTAAGTATTAAAGCTGACTGATTGTGTGTGGTTTATTTATTTCAATGTTTGGCGTGTGTGCGTGTGAGTGAGATTTGGAATGGAATGGAGGAAAAATAGAAAAGCGAACCTAGATCTTGATAGTACAAGGCATCTTGTACAATTACATAATCCCTGGGGAAAAAAGAAACACGGAACACCCTAAAATTCACTTCTACGCATTCCGGCCTAATTCAGAAAACATTGCAACACAACATTACCTCTTGGAATAGAATACGTAGCTTTATTTAAAATATTTTTTTAAAATAATCTGATTAGAAAAAGAGCGCGATTAACTTCCTGAATACAGCTCTACGCTTTTACGCGTTGTATTTTGATAGAATGCAGTCATTTACGTTTTCGTTTCAGCTGTGCCATAGTGCAAATTTTCTGAAATCCTGACTGAGCCAAAGTCTTACACTCAGTAAATACGGCTGAAGAATCTGACAGTGCACACTGTTTATTTTTCTTTAAAATTATCCTAATTTGGGAATAAAAATAAGACTGTAAATATTTTTAAACAAAATCGCCGCCGCAACCCAGCTTTACGAGATCAGAGAGTGGAGCAACAGTGCCCTCTAGTGGCCAAATGCCACCTCGAGCGACCAACTTTAACATCCCTGTTATTTATTCATTTCAAACCAATTCCAATCTTGTTCTTCTGTTTGACTGGGGCTTGGACTGCTGACACTACCAGTAACGCTTTATCCCTTTGATTGTCAACAAGTCAAGTACAGCAAACAGAGACTCCTGAATGCGGGGATATTCCCATTGCGCTCCCGAGAGCTTCCAGTAGTGCCTTTTCCAAAAGGTTTCAGCAACTCTTTTGCCAGACACTGTAGTTCCCCATTCTGTAATCGCCCAACTGTACATTTTAAGTACAAGTATAGGACTAGCTCGATTTAACAAAAAATCACTACTTTCTGAATATCAACTGCAAGTGGCTCTCTTTCAGAGAATCCAGGCATTTTGAAAACTAAGAAATTCTAGAAATCAAGATTGCTAATTCTTCTTTAAAGCCGTTACTCTGAATATTAAATCATGAATATTGCCTGTTTTCACTTTGTGGTTTTAATGCCCTAAAGCCTGTTTGGTTGGTCGATGTTAGGGGATTCTGAGCCAAATTAGAAGCTTTTTTGGTGCATCTCTGAGTGACCAGCTGGAAATTCTCTGCTGAGCTTGTATTCGTTTGGATTTTGACACACAATAAATGCAATTTAAAACTTATACCAAAAGTCACAGAATGAAATGAATTGACTAAACACTCAGTTTGGATTTAAAAAAGGAAAGGCTTTATTTCATCCACTTCGGTGTTTCCTATGCGGTTAATCTTTTTTTCTCATTTTCGAAAATGTTTTCCTCCAGTTACGGTACAACAATTGTACTTTCTATAAACAAAATAAATATAATTTCCAACAATATTTTTGCTATGAAATTTGGCTGGAGGTCTAGATAGTCTAGTGACAGTGTGCCTAGGTAACTTCTTTCCCCACCGACCATGCGGCCGTGGCCGGTAGATTCAAGATCACTGATTCCCTCTCACCCCCCACAAAATAATAGGCCGGTTTTGATTTGTTTTAAAAATCGCCCAGAACTCAAGGATCGTCAAAATATGATTTTTAAAAAGGTCATCCACAGTGGACTACTTCTAATAATACCTTGGCCATTTTGCAAATCCGAAGCCCACCACTCCCTTCCTCTTACCCCCTCCTTTTTATTCCTAGGTGCTCACACCTCACCCTGGGCTCCCTGCCATCTTGGTCCAACGCAATCTTGTTTATATTTTATTGTCCAGATTTTAAGACCCAGTTTTGTCTGCATTTTTCCTTTCCTCCCACAAACACAAACATCAAAATGAGATGGTTTCAAAGCGAAGCGCCGGGCCTGTCGTAAACTCATTACCTCCAGACGTCTGGCCGGCTCGATGGCTTTATGACACCTTGGCTCTTCCTGTTTTCAAAGAGCCCTAGGTATCAGGCTGGCTGCAGGGGCGGGGGCTCGCCGCACCTTCGGCCGGATCTGGGCCTTGGCTTTCCCTCCCAGCCCCCCTCTGTTTTCTCTTCGAGTCCCCTCTTTCATCAGGGTCCCCAAGATCTCTGCCACTTCCCCCGCCTTCCGCCCAACCCAGGCGGCCTGGCGCCGCCGACTCTCGGGCCTGCAAAGGCTATACTCGCCCGGAACCCTCGCTCACAATGACCTTCATTTTAGCCTCTGAATGCGGCCCTCAGAGGGCCGAGCTGCGGGCTAAACACTTAGGAGCTGGGGGGGGGTGGGGAGAAGGGGCGGTAGGATGGGGGGCCGCGGAGGAGAGCCTTGACCATTTTGATCCGCTAAGGTCACTTTGGGGCTCCCGTGGGGAGGGGCGGAAGCTCACAGCCAGACCGCTTGGCCCTCCTGGAGCCAGCAGGCCCGCGGAGCTGGGGGAGTTGCTGCAGGGAGCAGGGTTGGCCTTTTCCTCGTTTGGAGAGGGTGTCGGCGGCTAGGGATGAGGGAGGCGTGGAGTGAGGTCTGCTAAAGTCCTAGTGAAGGGGTGCCTGGCTCCGGGGGCCGCTGGCTCCGCTGGTGGCTGCAGCGAGGTGAACACTAGGCCCCGGCACAGGGATCGTTGGAGGCGCTGGAACCAGTCCGGGGCGAGAAGGCAATGCCGAGGCCCTCCACCCCAGGGGCTGTGCTCTAGGCGGTCTGCCCTCACAAAGGAAAGCTCCGAGGCACCTCTGGGAAACCCCCTCAGGTGGAAGGGCCCCAGAGTTTTGGCCATGCTTCCCTGCGGGGGCAGGAGAAGTGCCATGAGTGTAGTATTTTGCAGAGAGACGGAGAAAGCAGGCACACAGCGTGAAGGGCCAGCGTCTGGTTCCATTTGATCAGATCACCATTTATTGGTAGGAAGCGGTAACATTTACAACTGGTCGTCTGTCAGGAGCCGGAGAGCAGCCACCCACAGCAGCCCACGTGAGCCGGGCCCTCTGGGGGAACACGGCTCCTCCTGCGCCCTGAGAACCACCCCCCACCTCCGACGCAGCTGAGAGCCTGGCCTCCTCTCTTCGCCAAGCCCGAGGTCTCGGGTGAGGGCCCACGGGTTCCCTGAGGAAAGGGGGCTTCCGTCACCAGTGGGCAAGCCGGCTGGGCCTCGGCCTGGGTGGGCAGCCGAGGTGTTCGCACTGTCGTCGCCTTGCCTTCATTCTTGGACTTGGGGCACGCTTGGCCCCTGCTTGGGCAGGACTGGGGACTAAACTATAGCACTTTTCAGAAACACGGGGGACATTTACACAGGAGAGGCCTCCCTAAGCCAGCGTGCACTCACAAAGACAGCATATCCTAAGGAACCAACGGGGCAGGAATGGGAGAGAGCAGAATAGGGCGAAACCCTAAAGCCACTTGATTTCTCCAACACAGAAGCGAGCAAACACAGAGTCCCCCAAATACCTCACAGAGACCAACCACACAGTCACTTCTACCTAAAGAGAGAGAGAGAGAGAAAGTCTGAGTTGCTGTTGAGTTGCTGGGAACCAAGCACCCACAAGCAAAACCCTCGCTGCCTTTGCAAAGCAGGGCGGCGCCCGGCCGCTGGGTCAGTCTCCTTTGGGGCACTTCTCCTTGCTCATCTTTTTCATTTTCATCCTACGGTTCTGGAACCAGATTTTGACCTGTCTCTCTGTGAGGTTCAGAATCCTGGCCACCTCGTAGCGCCGGTCCCGGGTGAGGTACATGTTGAAGAGAAATTCCTTCTCCAGCTCCAGCGTTTGGTATTTGGTGTAGGGGCAGCGCTTTTTCCGCGTGGAGCGAGCGTGGATCCAGTTCGCTGCCGGGTTGTCTACGAAGAGGGGCGTTCGGAGAAGGGGGGTGAGGGGCGGAGGGGAGGCAGGGAGAGACGACAGGGTGGGGGAGAGAGGTCGTCAAATTAATTTCACCAAGGATGGCCGCTTTTCACAACTTGGGGGGAATTATCATAAAAAGCCTTCATGCCCGCGCTCTGTTTACCGCACAAACCGCGCGCCCAGGGTAGGTGGTTATGGGGAGCTTTTTTATGGATGCTGTTGCTCGCCTGGGCTAGGCTAGGCGTCTAGACGTTTTTATAGGTTAGTAAAACTATCAGTTTTGCACATTCGAGCCTTACAGGTTTCAGCAATAAATCAGGGGGCAATTTCTTTTGCACTTACTTGGGTCAAGTTGCTGCTGCGGCGGCTGCGGCTGCTGCTTTTCCTCCTCCTTCAGCGGGCAGCCCGGGCTCGGGTGGTCGCTGCAAGCCGAGGGCTCTGACGAGCCGCCCGTCCCGGGCCCGGCCGCGATCCCCGCCCCGGTGCCTGCCGCCGCCGCCGCCGCCTTATCCCGCAGGAAGGAGTTGCATGAGAACTCAGGGCCGCTGCTCCCCTGGGACTCCCGGGTTGCGGAGCACTCAGTCCGTTTGGAGGAGGAGGAGGAGGACGAGGACG